ATATTTAAACATTAATTTTTGTATCTAAAAAACTTATTTTTACTCTTATTTGTTATAGCATCTTTGATTTTACAGATGTATGTATTTATTTATGCTTCTTTTTATATTGAATAATAAATAAGTTATATAAACTAATCAATTTCAAGATTTTGTATACAAAGGCCTTTGTTTCTAGTATTTATTTTTTAAAATATTGTTTGGAGCACTATACAAATTTACAATAACAAATTATCAAATCATATACTAAGAATTGTATATTTAATTTGTTTATAAACTTTGTTTTTAGTATATTAATATATATAACAAACAATTTAAAAATTTACACATTCTTATTTGAACATAATTAGCAATGTTTATAAATAATCAGTAAAATATATTTAATTTATTAATAATTATTTTGGCAAGTTTTTAAATTACTCATATTTAGCATAGTGCATACTTACTTTATAACTAGAAATTTAGCATAGCACTCACTTACTTTATATCAGAAATTTAGCATAAAATATACATATATATTTAGTTAGAACAAAATAATTAATATTCTCAAATGATTAGCATATATCTTAACATTTATAGATCAAATTATAATTAGCATTAATAAATGACATTTTATATAGAGTATTTTAAATTTAATAAAGGATATGATAAAAATTATAGTTAGCAAGTGTTAGTTCAAATCTGACAGCTCTCAACTGTGACCTAAATATCAAATCTTTGATAATTAATAATTATCATTTCATTAATCCAATAAAAAACACTACAAAAAAAAAATAAAAAACTATCAAAATCTAATGAATATATGTAATAATTTACATTGAGCCACCAGTATTTATATTAAAAAATTATTTTTTTACCACTATTTATTATAACATTTCTGATTTAATAATGTTTTAAGTTTTATTTTCATTCATCTTATATAAGTATAATATACATAATATATGTTTATATGCATAAACATAGATGTAATGGTTAAGTTGCAGTATAAAGTATGAAATAATATGAAAAATAGGCAATGTATAACAATATATGATAAATAAAGTTACACAAACCAATTAAGCACCAATAATTGCACAAACATATTAACTTGTCTATAAATTTTATACTATATTATACATTGTACAACCTCTATTTTTGATATAGTAAAGTTTAAGAAAATTCTTCATCTAAGTTAATTATTAACTTATTTTAAATTAAGCTACTCAAAATAATGTTCAGAATGTTATTTTAGGATAATATAATATATATAGTAATACTAATTAAAAATTGATTAATATATATTTCTAATATAGTATTCTGAATACTATTAAATTATCTAATTTAATAAATGAGGTCTTCATTTAAAAAATAAGATAGCTGCGCAACTCAGTCACACAAAACCAGAAACGGGAGACATGAGTATATGCACAATGGTTATGTAATTGCATTACAAATTTAAAATATCACTTCATTTCATCTTACCCTCATTCATTCATTTTATATGTATTGCTTTTTTATTATATATGTAGCAGTTTGTGCAAATGCACCTTTTTATAAAATATAACTGGTTAATGCAAATTCAAGTATAATTATGATATATTTGAGAATTTAATCAAACTGTATGTAATATTTTAATAATAATTTCATTATTGCTAACTTTATTTAATTTTGGTCATGGCTTTCAAAAACTCAGATTGCAATTCCCTAAGTTACGATTACAAAAATGATTATAGTTTGAAATAAACACTTAGAATCCTTTGAATGTGTAAGAATTATATTAGTGTTGCATACTTATCATTATAATAATAAATATAAATACAGTATAGTACATATATATAAATCAGCATCTGCAGTAAAACGTTGCTTGTACAAATTCGAAAAAATCAAGATATAGTCTGCTATGTCCTGGTATTATCATTATTATAGTATGATAAATTTAGGCAATGATCATCCTAACAAACACATGCACACAAAGTCACAAGGAAGTACCATCCAATCAAATGCTCAGATTCTGTGACTCCACTTAACTCGCTACATGACCAACACTTCGTATTTCATACTCTGTTCCTGGTACACTTCATATTTCATACTTTGTTTCTGGTACACTTCATATTTCATACTCTGTTTCTGGTATACTTCATATTTCATACTCTGTTCCTGGTACACTTCATATTTCATACTCTGTTTCTGGTAATGACAGCTGATCAGATAATTAGATCCATGTGTCGACTAGCCAATCAAAATTATAAATTTATTCAGTATAGCTTTTTTACTTAGAATAGTTTGACAATATATAACTTTTAGATATTTTATGTGTTTTTTATTCATCTAAGGTGGTTCTAAGTACAAACATATGTAAGTATATGCAAAGAGTATACAAACATATCTTAACAGATAGCAATTTAATGTCAATGTTTTCATATTTTTAGTAGTAGTTCATAAGTAATCTGACACATATTTTTTTCATCTGAAAACTGTATGAATGAATTTGTTGAGATTGGAAAATGTGCATGTTATAATGAAGACAACACCAATAAAGAAAATGTGGTATTGTGTGACTTAATATAGCAACAAGGTGGGCAATTGGAAATAAATATATTGATGATTGCATAAAAGAATTCCATGCATATGAAGATGGATTCTATTTGATAGACTAAGTATTATTGTAAAAATTGGTGAAGGTGGATTTGGATCTGCATACAAAGCAACCTGGTTGAATGGCATATGAAAGTTGATAGTGCTGATTATAACTATGTAAAAGTGCATGAACCATCTAGCAGTGATGTACTTAAAACTTTGGCCAGTTTTAAAAAAACAAGTTCGATTTTTTAAAAAAGTAAGTTAATTTATTTATTGCTTTAATAATTTATAGTTTATTGAACTAATTCATAAACTTCAAGTTTAAAAGTCTTATAAATTACAGTGTATTTTTGAATATAAATATAAGCATGTTAATTATAAGTAGTGAAATATGAATTTTATATCAATTAAAACAACTCTAGAAAAAAAGAGTAATCGTAACTTCGAGTTTGTTAAACTCATTGAAGAAAATGCTTAAGATCAATATGATGTAGGCAGAAAGAAACTAAGATATAATAAAAAGTTAAAAAAATAATACTACCAAAAATCCATTATTAAAAAATAATTAATCAGAAAATGATTATAGAGTAAATTGAGTTTGTAAATGCTTTATTGAGAACTAAACTTGTCGATGTTATACTATGTTAGATCATAATATTTAAAATATGATAACCATTATAATACAATCTACTTAAAATTGCTCATTCTTAGCTATCTAAATAAATAAAATTTTATTTCTCAATATAATTTCTTAAAAAATTATATAAATAAATTAAAAAAACTGATCACTTTAAAAAACAAAAGATTCCAATAATATTATTTCTATCTGTTCCTAGTTTTAAATGCCAATATAGTGTAATTACCTTATTGAACAGTAGATATAGTGATGCAGTAGAATCATCCCAATGATGTTACAACTTAAGCCATAACTGGCTAAAGCTTATATTGTAACTAGTTATAGCAATTATTAGAATAATTCTACTACATTACTAGATATAGGACATTTCTAAACTCAGAATCAAATTCGTTTCAGATCTTAAATCTTTATAGTTTATGTTCATGTTAAGCAAAAATTTTCAAACCTTGTTATGAGACTTGCTAGTATAAAGCATGCTTAAAAATATAATACTGTAAAAGTAAATCAAAAATAAGAAGCAAAAGATACTCCTATTAAGCATTTATGATTCATGCCCAACTTTCTGTACAAGTAAAAAGTTCTAAACCTCGATATATAGAACCTATTAATATGAAGCATGTCAATATTTGAGCTGTATAATATTATGGCATAAAAGCAAGTATTTATATGAATAAAAAGCATAATAAAAAAAACTATTATTTACCTATTAAGTCTTTATACATCATATTTCCAAATTTATGCAAGATTTCCTAATACAAAACTTAAGTACAAAGTATGAAGAAACTTACAATACTGCAAAGAAAAAAAATAAATTATATAGTATATATATACTATACAATATAGTAATAAAAAAAAAAGCAGTTATAAAAGTGTAGAAATTCAATAAACTAAGAGTTATAAGCTTAAAAATACCTTTTTTTTCAAGTCTCATTTATTTCAGCCAAAAAAAATGATTTTAACTAATTTTTTATTGATTATAAAACCTTGTGTCTTCTACTTTTCGTGTATATAGTTATTAATTATTAATAGATATTACAAAGATTTAAGATTTTCATTTAAAAAAGTATGACTATGAATCAATAAAAACCTAAAAAATTTTATAGATTATTCCAGAACTGATCTTCAGTATTATAAAAATGCAATCGATATACAGCCCAAACAAGAAAAATTTCCGACTGTATAATATTATAGCAAGATAGATTTAGGCAATGATCAATATAACAAATGTAGCACACAAGGTCACAAGAAATTACCATCCAATTAAATGCATGAATTCCACGACTCCACTTAACTCGCTACATGAGCAACACTTTATATTTCATACTCTGTTCCTGGTATATATTATAGAACATAGTAAATCATATGTTCTATAATATAATTTTTAAATTAAAGACACTATAGTCAGTAATGTATATAATTAAAAAATTGGTTAAATTAACAACTAATTGTTAAATTATTAATAATTAATAAAGTTGATTTAATCAGTTAGAAAATTTGTTTATTTGATTAATAATTTAAGATAATCAAAATATATTAAAGTACATGAAAAATTATATTAATATATAACTTAAAAATACATTTACTTTATTTTGTATTTAAGAATATTTACTTTATTATTTGTAATTTTTTTATAATTATTTATTAGAATACTATTTTTTAAATATTCTATTATTATAAAAACTAAAAAATAGAAACTTGTAAAGTTATAAAATCTTAGAAAAAAAATGATAAAATCAATATCTAGTAGTACTTAATGATTAAAAAAAGAAATAGAGATTACAGATACTACTAGTATTGCAAATATAAAATGTCAAAAAATTGTCTAAAACATGTAACAACAGTCTTGATTAATAATTTATATAATCTAATAAATTTTACTGAACATAACCTTGCTTTTCAAGCCAGCTACCTTGAAACTATAAAAGCTATTACTAAGTTTAAAGACATCTCTAAAGACTGTAAAAAGCCAGTACAATTAATTAAACATTATATGAGTAAACTTTTAGAAGATGTTTAACTCTCTATATTATTATTTAATGCACTTCATCAGATAGTTATTAATATCAGGAAAATGAAAAAATTACTACAATAAGAGAACACTTTAGACTTCAACATTTTATCTTTACTTTAAGTTACTTTGAAATATAAATTTTTTTAATTAAAGATCATCTAATTGATCATAGTAAAACTCTTATTTTTTCTACTACTGAAAATATTAAGCATTTATTAAAAGCACATTATTAGATTATGGATGGTATATTTAAAACTGTTCCAACTAATTTTTTCCAATTTTATAGATTCATACATTAGTTGGTTCAGAAAAAAATTCTAGAATTTTATCTTTAGTATATTTTTCTTTGACAAATAAGTTTGAACAAACATATAAGTTAGTAATAGAAATTTTTAAATTCATTTTTATTAATTTTATTTATATATATTTTCTATTAGATAACTAGCATATAACCTGTCACATTGCTCTGATTTTAAGGCATCTATATATAATATAGAATAGGTAAATAAATATTATAAAATAAACTTTATGAAATAAATTATAAAGAAAACCTGAATGTTTATATGCTATTTATCTATCTGAAGTAATAAAGTAATAAAAGTAATAAAAGTAATAAAAGTAAGATTTCAATTACTCAAAACCTAAATGTAATAATCAATTATGTGTTATGTGTTATGTGTAATGTAATAACTGTAGTACTAAGTGTGTAATACTAATTACAATCATACATTATAATTAGCATAAAACTGACTAATTAGAATTGATTTTTGTCTTCTAGTATTTATCTTATAATGTTTATCTTATAAGGTTTGTCTTATAATGTTTATCTACCTATTCTATATTATATATAAATTAGCAATATTACTCAAACTAGTTTTTTAAATAATTTATTTATTAGTAATTGTTACATAATTTTATTAATATTTATTATATTATGTAATAAATAATATAATAAAAAGATCTGCAAATCTATTGCACAAAAATTAACTAAAAAATTCGTCTGTTTAAAAGTACTTATAACTATTTATATTACTAAGACAACCTGTCCTAGGCTCTAAGTAAACTTGTTCAGCTCATCATTCTACATATATTCTGAAAATATTAAGTTCCAATATTTTAAACCCATCGAGAAAATTGTACTAACGTCCTTTGGTCTCCAATTTATAACTTTTAACTATTTCACAGTTTCTACTACCTTAATCTGTTCTTTACTCTTAATTAAAGTTGTAGTACACAGTCACCCAGTCAAAACAAGCTCTAAACAAAGACTTTTGACCTAATATTGGTCAAACTACAACCAAATTCAATATTTACTTTCTTGCAAAACTTTTTTTCTACTTTTTGTCCTTACTCCATCCCCTTTTTCTCTTACATGTTTTTCATATAACATACAATCATTTCCAAATTCATATCTTATTAATTTACACCAATATTTAGAATCAACCTATTTATAGATATTCATTTAACATAATGAATTATTACTATATTTGGTTTTTATCTATATTACATAGTAATTTGTATTACAATTACAGTTGTGTTCAGTATCCGAGTCACAGTAATGATCCTAACCATTCTAGTTACACCCTAATACTACTCCAGTGATATCCATATAATACAACCCTTATTTTTATCTACTACCCTTGCAATATTAATACTCATAATTATATTTACCACTTAGTAAAATTCTCTAAGTCTTAATTCTCTTTTTCTTTCTTCTTATTTCATCTGCAATTCTGTAAAATATCTACTTTAATTCATCAAAAGCCTAATACTGCAGACCTTGATTATTTCTACCAAAACTTCTCTGACAGTTTTGGAATCACTTTTTATAAAAAAGAACAAGACAATAAGACTCATCCAATTTCTCCCAAAATTCAACTAACTTTCTGTTTAACAAAAAATCTTAGATCACATAAGATTATACATTTCTTTCAAGCTCTCTTTTCTACTTCTATAATTATTTGTCTTTGTGACAAATATTATACTAAATTTATCTCATTTACCAATACCAATCACATCCAGGCTACTGATTTTACTACTACCTATATCAATAGTAACTCCAAAAAACTTAACAAAACAAGTCAAGATCTTATTTCTAATATCTCCTTCTCTACTAACAGTATTCCTCTATCTCCTACACCTGATGTACACTACTACACTTGCCCAAAATGCTCTGTTCCAATTGGTTGTACTAAAAGAAATGAGCATCATTATTCTATCAAAAAATATGTTACCAAAAACAATGAAGTCTTTCATCTTACTTGTATGAATGCCTCATCCCAGTATGAAGCTAATTTATCTCAAACCAAGAAAAATCTTATCCAAACTTTTCAAAATATCTTAATAGAATCCAATCAAACTACTAATCCCAATACTAATTTTTTTAACCAAACTTCCTCTATTACTTCTAACCTTATTGACTCTTTCTTCACTACAACTACTTATACTAACTTTACTTCTAATCAACCTCTTATTACTAATATCTCTGACAACTTTAACTTAAATACTAATAACTCTAGCAATACTAACCAACCTGACAGTATCTCTAACAAACCTTTTCTCCAAATTTACTCCAGTGTGACTAAACTAAAATCCAACCCTACATATGACTGACTTGCAAATTTTCCAATTATTGAAGAAATGCAATTTAACAAAAATTACAGACTATATTCTCTCTTCAACTCTTTATTTTTCTTAAAAAATTTCTTTATGATTTCTATCTTGGTAAAAAAATTAAACTAGCTACTCCTACCCAACTTGCACTCAAGACCTTATTCTATTATATTATTCACATCATGACTAGACAACAACCAGAATTTTTAACAGACCTCATTTATAGTAGCAACCCTAATATTGACAAAAGTGCTACTATTCTATTTAACATACTTAAATCTATTCTTAAAATTTTATTGCTCAAATTCACAACTATCCTTTTTACAAAACTCAACTATCTTGAAATCTTTGTCTCACCAGTTACTATTCCTCTATATACTGCTCACAATCATCTTCAACTCTGTCTTAATCTTGCACAACTTCACCTTTTTTTATCTAATAACTATCAATTAATTGATTACCAAAAATTTGTTGAAGATTTAAAGCTTAGACTTAAAAGATTCAAAATTGAATCTTTTACTCAAACTACTAATCTTAACCAAAAATACCTTACTATTTAATCAGATGCTAGATTTAACATCAAGCTCTTCTTCAATGTTCCAAAAACACTGTTTCTTGAAAGATTTTGCATTCCTTCTTTAAAAAACTCTCATTGATTACTTTAATTCTTGGTTTAAAACCTACTACTCCCCTTACAGTTGACAATTTTCTTTTACTATTAACAAAAAAAAAGTCAAAACTTCTCTTCAGATTCAATTCCATCAACACTTTATTCTTTAACTCTCTAAGCACCTTCCTGAATTCTATATATTCCAAAAACCCAATTTACTTCATGAGTGACATGAGGAGGCATCATGTGTTGTGAATTTCCATTGCCTTACTTGTGACAACAAATCATGCCAATACCTTAATGACAAAAAATTTCATAACAGTAATAAACTCTTTAATGATATACTAAGCAAATCTCACTTATCATTTCCATCTAAAGAAAATAAAACATGGATTTATCTTACTTTTAACACTACACTATTCTACAAAAACAAAGAACATGTCATTTTACTCGACCAACCTATTTCTACTAAAGCCTTGGACACATTGGCTGATCAAGCTGAAGACTTTGTTTATAAATAAAACAAAGTTAAAACAAATCCTAAATGTTGTAATTATTATTTTTACTACTACCTCTCATTATATTACCAAAATGCAGCAGAAAATCATAACATACAGTCTCTTTCCAAGAAAGAGGCAATTAACTTATTAACAAAAAACATTATTGATACTAAATTCTTTGTCCAAATCATTACCTACTTTGACATTGTCAAAAACCAAAAATCTACATACTTACAAATTGTCAAATATTTCAATACTACTGCCTATCTTGCAGCTGAAAAATTTTTAGCAAAAAAATTCAACCTTGACTTTCAACCAGTCTCCATCCTTGACTCACTCTTCTTACAATCTCCTTTTTAAGTTCTTTGTCTTCTACAACTAACATCGAAATAGCTACCACCTTATTAAAAGAAACAACCACTGTAGTTAATAAGGAAAATAAAATAAGTAGGAGGTAGGCAAGCCTATTTATGTAGAAGGCCATGTTAATAACATTCAAACCCAACATACAGGGTAGACTATAGTATCTTGCACAGCTGTATGAGCCAAGCATATAGTGATTAACTCTGTAGAAGACAATTTTGCAAGATCATTTACAACATCTTTAATCCTCTATAATC